CCCCAAAACCCCAAAACCCCAAAACCCCAAAACCCCTCTTTAAAATCTTTTTATTGAATTTAAATATCTATCTCATGTTCTATATCATACCTCCCTCCTGATGATTTCATCTTAAACATTGTGACCCTGTCAGGCTTGAAAGTGCCAAGCTCATGATCTCCGTAGCTGCTGAGGATGTCTACTACTTGAAGCTAAAGGATACCTGTTGGATCAAAAGAGAATACATCTATGCCGATAACTTACTAAACTTACCTTTGATCTTTGCGTATTTAATATTAAAAAGAGTTAAATGGAACTTGATATCATACCTAAATTAAAATTCAAAAATAAATTACATTCCAGTTGCAGAATTTATTTTCTAGTGATCTAAGTCAGTTTCTTTAATAATCCCATCCTCTATAAACTTTTTAACAACAACATCAGCTATGTTTTCTAGTAATGTATAACTCTCATCCTTCTTCAGCTTTGCATATAAAACTCTTGCTGACTTTCCATCTCTTCCTGAAAAAGCATCAATTCCATCAAGCTAAATCTAATTCTGCAATATTACATCTAGAGTAAAACTAGCTGTGCTTATGATCTCTGACAAGATAGGTTGAAGATCATTCAAAGTTTGTACGGCTGCCTCAACTTTTTCATGATTGTTTAAGGACATTACGAATAGACTAAATGAAGTTAGATGCTTTGTAGGGTTGAGAGTTAGTTTGAGATGGTCAGATAGGGATTCGAATGCAGATTAAGGAAATGGGAATTGTTGGGTTGTGGGACTTGATTTTATTGGACAGAAAATTCAGTTGTTTGAGCAGAAATGATATATTGAGGATTATACGAAGATCTTTAGTGATAGATATAATTTTAGAAATTTAAATAAAAATTACTCATAGACTAAGACTGAAGCAAATGTTGTGAAACCACTTACGTAAAATGGAACTTGCCAGATGGCATCATCCATCCAGGATGCAAGATTCCCTCATACTCTTCTGCTAATCTCTCTTGCAACTCTACCAAGTTCTCAATAACCCCTTCATCTTCAACAGGTATAGCAATAAAATGAGTCAATCTTGGTCCCTGAAATCCTCCTCTGAAGCCTCTGCCTGTTCTTGCTCTTTCTCCTCTATTCCCTCTGTCTCTTCTACTATCTCTATCTCCTCTACCACTTCTTCCTCTGGAATATCTACCTGCTCTGTGGCCTCTTCCCCCTCTAGAAGAATGTGATTTTTTAGGGACGGTCGTCCAATCTATAGTTTATGTTTAAAAGTTTAAGCAAAAGAAAATTGCTTAAATAAATTTGGCTATACCTTCCATATTTTTAGATTTTTTATCAATTTAATAAATTCACAAAGGGGTTTTGGGGTTTTGGGGTTTTGGGGTTTTGGGG